CTGACCTGGGGGCCGCCGTGGCCCTCCTGAAAGAAGGCGCTCTCCGGACCGTCCGGTGCCTCCAGACCTCCGCTACGGGGCCGGCCGAGGGGGCCTCCGCCGGCTGCGTCACCGTCCGGGAAGAGATCCTGGCCCACCGGGGGCGGCCGCACCTCTACCTCCAGCACCTGGCCGTGGCCAACCCCACCGGCCGGCTAGTGGCCTTCGAGTTGCCCGGCCTGGCCTCGTCCCTGGGAGGAGGACCCAACGGCGACCGGTTCGTCACCAGCCTGGAGAAAGCCGGCGACCGGCAGTTCTACTTGTCCTCGGGCCGCGTGCTCCAGCCGCCGGGCGACACGGTGGTCCTGGTGGTGGTGGCCACCAAGAAGGTGGTCAGCCGGGTGCAGGTGGCCCCCAAGTCCCAGTTCGAGGAGACCATGCTGTCCGTGGTCCACACCTCGGAGCCCATCGACGCCTCCCGCCTGGACGAGACCTTCAGCCGGCTCCGGGAGGCGGCCAAGAAGGAGATGCTGGAGGTCATGAGGATGAGGCCGGAGGATCTGATCCAGGAGCACCGGCAAGCTTGGATGGACCTCTTCATTTCCGGTGAGAGCCGTCTCGACCCGAAACCCAAGCCGTGCTGGCTGAATTCGCCCTTCATCTTGCAGCCAAGGGTTCCCTCTGGACCGGCGGGCCTTTCCAAGCTGGCGAGGACGGTGGCATTGCCTTTTCTGTCCATCCGAACTGCTTTCTAAACCGGCACCAGGTGCCGACTTCTCCACTGGAATCCGCACTGGATAGTTAGTTAGGCATCGCTCAGAACGCTTTGAGACAACGGCTGGCGTGAGCCGTGGGGGGCACAGCCAGTCTTCTGGAGTCCTCGTGTTTACTGCATGATGTGTTCCAGAGCAGGGGTGTAATAAATATTCACAGATTTATTATTGTTATTATTTAAATCTCTTATGATTTTTGCCATTTCACCCCAGCAGGGAAATCCCTCGGGGACCTCTGTGGGGACTGAGAGATTCCCCAGTGAGTATTATGGGGGGGATTCCCCCCCCCCAGTATTCACAGATTTCTTCTGCAAGATTAAGGCCCTTGCAATCCGGTTGCCCCTTTTCCACTTGCTCCTGTCAATTTCCAGGTCTTCCCGGGGTCAGTTTCAGATAGTGGTATTGGTGAGTGTAAGAGCTGAAATTGATAAGGAATCCTGTTCATTAGGGTCATAATGCATTTTCTGTGGTTCTCTGGAGTTACACACAAGATTCCACAGGAAGGAACAGGTTGCTTTGCTGGGTGGGTTATCCCAGGGAGAAATTTGGGGGTGGGGGGGAGGAGAAGCAGACCGTCTAAGAAACATTTCAATTTTCACCTTGAAGTCAGTGTGCAGAAATTCTGTCAGTGAGATTTGTGGCTCATAAGTTCCACGTCTTCTATGACAGTGTCGGAAGCATGAGATTTAGGAGGGGTGCATTAGCTCAGGAGCGTTTGCTGGTGTTTCGTGGGAAATTGGCAGGAGATATTCCTGATTTCTGGAGTAGTGATTTCTGTTGTTCTCCCTATGGTAGTATTTATACCTTGTTGCTTTGAACGTGTTTCGGCGTTGATTTTTTTAACTGTTTTTGGTGCAATACCCTGTTTCCCTGAAAATGAGACCTAAATTTTTTAACTGTTTTTTTAGTGTAATACCCTGTTCCCCTGAAAATGAGACCTAACCTGAAAATAAGCCCTAGTAGGATTTTTCAGGATGCTTGAAATATAAGCCCTACCCCAAAAATAAGCCCCAGTTGAGTGAAACCCCACCCTCCACCCTTCTGCAGGAACCCAAAGAAGAAGACATGGCTGTAATTGAATCGTAGATTCTTATACATGAAAAAAAAAATTAAACATCCCCTGAAAAGACATGGCTGTAATTGAATCAGTGTAGATTCTTATACATGAATAAAATAAAATAAAACATCCCCTAAAAATAAACCCTAATGCGTTTTTTGGAGCAAAACTTAATATAAGACCCCGTCTTATTTTCAGGGAAATATGGTATTTGTTTGATCCTTTAAAACAATGCTCCCCAGATGTTCTTGGGACTACAACTCCCAGAAATCCTGGCCAGCACAGCTTGTGGTGAAGACTTCTGGGAGTTGTAGTCCAAGAACATCTGGGGACCCAAGGTTGGGAACCACTGCTTTAAATATTTGTAATACTTTGTGTTTTAACTTTTAAGTATTGCCTTTTAAGGAGAAAGGTGGGAGGAAAATATTTTAAGTACATTGAAAAATATATAAATATTCCATCTTATATTGTATATAGGAACAGAAATGAATTTTCAAATTCATGGTGTGTTATTCCGGAGAGGGGGTTGCTTTCTAGTCCCGGAACAGCCCTCTTTTTGTCACGGAGAGAGGCATTCTGGGAAAGGATGGAGCGAGCTGTACCTTTTTGAGGAATCAACTTTGCGTTGAGAAACCTGTAACCATGCAGATGTTCATTAACTACAGATCCCATGATCCCTAATCATTGGCCAGGCTGCCTGGGGTTGATAGGAACCGAAAGGCACCATTGCCCAGCCTTGGAATGAACAAAACATTCCAACAAGCATACATAATATAGTCTGGAGGGGGGGAGGACATGTGAATGTTTCACTTAAACCCTTCTTGTTGGTGAGAATATGCTATCATGTGCTGTCAAGTCAATTCAAATTTAGGGGGTCCCTTTCCAGGTTTTTCTAGGCAGTGGGCATTCAGAGGTGGTTTCCCATGCCCTTCTTCTGGGGTTAACCCTGGGACTCTGCAGCTGGCCCAAGGCCACCCAGGCTGGCTCTTCTCCCGGGAGGCACACAGTGGGGGGAATCGAACTCCCAACCTCTCACTTCGCAGCTAGATACCTAAATCATGGAGCTACCCAGCCAGCTTATGTCCTGCGTACCTTTTGCAAATTTACTTCCGAATTCCTTCTGGAGCCCGTCTCGGCTGCGAGGGAAAGCAAGCCTTTTTAAACCACGTTCTCTCTCTCTCTGTCTTTCAGGGATCGAAATGAGGAAGATCATGGATGCGCACACGCCTTCCAGCGACACCGTCAACATGACGCTGTATTACGTCCTGTCCACCACCCCGTCTCCTCTCCTCGACCCCCTCATCGGCAGCGAGGAGAGGGAGAAGATGGAAGCCACTCTGAACTACGCCGACCACTGCTTCAGCGGCCACGCCACCATGCACGCCGAGAACCTGTGGCCCAGCCAGCTCTCCACCGTCCCCCAGATCCTGCAGCTCTCCAATCTGTGGAAGCTGACGCTCCAGAAGCGGGGCTGCAAAGGCCTGGTGGCCGCGGGGGCCCACGGCGTCATGCAGGGGATGGTGCTGAGCTTCGGAGGGCTGCAGTTCACGGAGAACCACCTCCAGTTCCAGTCGGACCCCAACGTGCTCCAGAACAGCTACTCCCTGCGGGGCATCCATTATAACAAAGACCTGATCAACCTGGCCGTCCTGCCAGACGCCGACGGGAAGCCCTTCCTCCACGTCTCGGTGAAGTTCCAGGACAAGCCCGTCAAGCTGTACGCCTGCGAGGGCGGCTGCGCCAACGACCCCGTGGAACTGACCTCCGAGCCGCACGGCCACACGTTCCCGGTCATGGTGACCCAGCCTATCACCCCGCTGCTGTACATCTCGACCGACCTGGTCCACCTCCAGGACCTGAGGCACACGCTGCACCTCAAAGCCATCCTGGCTCACGAGGAGCACATGGCCAAACAGTACCCGGGGCTCCCCTTCCTCTTCTGGTTCAGCGTGGCCTCGCTCATCACCCTGTTCCACCTCTTCCTCTTCAAACTGATTTACAACGAGTACTGCGGGCCGGGAGCCAAGCCGCTCTTCCGGAGCAAAGTGTGAACCTCCACCACCACCACCACTACCGCCGGCCTGGTCTGAGGTGCCCGATAACGTGGGGCGGACTCCGGCCTCTTAAGTTTGTGACTTTTCCTCTTTTCTCTGGAAGCAGGAAAGCCTGTGCGGGAGCCGCGGATGCCCGGCAGGTGCGCAGTGCGCACAGACACCCATTTGCCTTCGTTCGAGGCTGCCGATCTCAATGCAAAGACTGCACAGAGAAAGAATAACCGGAAATAAAGTCTTTTGAAAAGGCACTGGTTTTGCTCCTGGACAAATTAATTTCCCGGGTGGACGGATCCACCTGAGCCCCCTGTTCCGCTCCTGGATCGCCCTCTCCAGCCTCGGAATGAGCCTGTGAGGGTCTCCTGTCCCAAAGTTGTTCCTTGGGTGAGCTCCCTGCGTTGGAGCGTCTGGGCGTAGGTGCTGGGTTAGCATTTAACGATGCTGAGATTTCCTCTTATGATCCTGGAAGAATCGGAGGGCAGGGGGGGAGCTGCCAGGACTGCCCCTTGTTATCTGTGGGGCTCCTGCTGCAGCTGTCAGAGATAAGAGGACTTGTGATGATTTAGGATGAGATTCCCCCTGAAGGCACAGTTTAAGAGGGAAACTTGGGGGCTGGGGAATGTTGTCTTTTCTCCCTTCTGCCTCCAGGGCATCGTGGTCCAGAAAAAGGTGACTCATCAGGTGGAATAAACCCAGAACTGGAGGGTGGAAGAACTGGAGAAGCCGCTTCACTTTGTTAACCTGCTTTCTCTCAAGAGGGAGGCAGAAAGGAATAATAGGAAGTTTTGCTTTGCTGGCTGTTAGGATACGACATTCTTGCATCTCTTGGTCTCGTCCATAGTGAAAGCACAAGGAGCCGGTTCAATCAGCCTGGGAAGGGAATTGCTATCTATCCCCTTTGAAGTGGATTTCGGTGTAAAAGCTTAGAGAAGGTAGAGGGTCACGAGGGCGTTCAAGCAAAGGCACCCAGAGGCCCCGTCCACCTGTGGCCTTTTCCTCGGGATTAAAAAAAATGGAATGGAAAACAAGGAAGAAGATAGAAGACCTGTGTGTAGACTGTGCATAACTTCTGGAATTCTCCTCTTTAGATTTGTTTCTGTCGGTGTAAGTCTCCTTTTTGCTCCTGGACAACCTAAGACAACTTCTGTCCTTATTTTCATGATGTGCATTGTATGTGGTTCAATCCTCGCCAAGGCAGTCGGTCCGACCAATCCTGAAAATAATGCTTTGATTCAGGACCGAGAAGGCTGTGAAGACAGTGTTCGGTTCCTTCCTGTGGTCGCTTCCAGTAGATAATGCTTTGCATCAGGTCACTGTGAAAGGTCCACCCACCTCTGTGCAAGGAGACAGCCCCCAAATTAAAGGCAGAGTGAGACTACTGTCAAAATCAGCAGCACTGAGATCGTCTCTCAAAACCTGGGGTGGGGGGGAATACCCTTTTTTGGGGGGTGGAGGACAACAGGTCCCATATTTCTGGAAGCCGAAATCCAAACGAAATGTGACTCTTTTTTTGAGCTCTGTAGCAGTGTCTTGCTCTGGGAACACCATGAGTTTTCTTCCCCCACCACCACCCCGGCTTGTGTTAAGATACTAATAAGAAACTGCACGGCAGAACAACGGACTTTGTAGCTGATTGCCGTTTGGCCGTGTTGAAATACTTGGGGATGCTGCAGCTTGTGATTCGGGGCGCTCGTCGTTCAAAGACAAGCCCACGCAGAAGGGCAGGGTGGGGGCGCACCCTTTCAGTGGCCGTGGACTGAAAACCGTGGGCTCTTCCCTGGAAACCCAAAGATCTGTTCTCAGCACAAGCCTGCGAAGACCTTCCCAGAAGCGGAGATGTGAATGAGCCAAGAATCTTTGAAAACAGCAATTTATTTATTTTAATTTGGTGCCTTTTGGGGAAGAAGGAATTTGTTGTGGTGTTTGAAGAACTTCTGCTAGCTTCTGTGTGTCCTTGTTAAACTGTTTCTTTCCCCCCTCTCTAAATTAGGGGTTCCCAACCTTGGGTCCCCAGATGGACTACAACTCCCAGAAATCGCTTGCCAGGATTTCCTGAGGACCCCAGGATTTCTTGTAGATGTAGAACATCTGGGGACGCAAAGGGTTGGGAACCCCTGCTTTAAATCCATTCTCTCTTAAGAGCTGTTGGCTTCCATTAAAAACTTTCTAGCGGAGAATACTTGAAAAATCACCTCATTTTCTTCATTTGCTGTTTGGTGTTATAAGAAGGCAAAGCCTTTTCTCCCATTTTCACCAGATTTAGCCTAGTTTTGAGGTTTCCAACCCCCGTTTCCTATTCATCAAGTGCTGCCTCCTTTCCCCTGTTTACTTTTAATTAATTTATTGTTGGTAGAGTTGGGGTGTTGATTTCCCCCCTCCCCTCCCGCCACACGTTCCTACTTGGAGAGCAAACTGTAGCCAGTTAAGAATGTATGTTTATATAATCTGGCACTCCTTAATCTAGTGTTGGTAATGACGTTTCTCGGCCTTTTTTTTTTGTGAGCCTAGTGTAAAAATAATAATAATAATAATAATAATCAACTTTAATGACCATTACGTTTTGGGAGTCTAAATCTATTGCAGTGTCTTTGTTTCGAAAGTCATGAGGGAATGCAGAATTTTCTGGAGATTTAGATGCAATTGGTTTGATTAATTTAAAATACCAAAGGTTTTGGGTTTGTTTTTGTTTTTGTTTAAACCCAACTAGAAATAAATTTCAAATCTGCCTCTACTGACTCTCTCGACGCATTATTGAGCTTCGTTTGTGTCTGTCTAATTTTTGCTAGGTACGTGGCCGGCTTTTTGGCTATGCTGGCTAAAACGGAAATAACCCTGAATTTCAGCTGCTGGAGTTAGAAAAGCTAGCTAATGAACTAGCACAGTTAGTTACCGTGTGATCTTTCTGTTCTCCCAAAATAAGAATAGGGAGCTTCATGCCTTCTAAGTCAGTTTGAACTTCTGCTGCCTGGTGACCTCGTCCAGGAAAGTGTTCTTTCGGGCCTAAAATCTTGTCCTGCCTTAAATCTGGTGCCGGGAGCATTTTTATCCTTGTTCCTCAGCCATTTTTATTCCTTATCCTCATTGGCTTTTTTTTTTATTATTAAACAGCCTTTGCCTATACCTTTGCAGTCTGGAAAGGCACAGCACAAAAGGAAAGAGGGATGAGGAGGGGAGAGGAAAATGCTAGCAAAATGATCTGGCTTCCCACCTCGTCCTCTTTTTTGAGACTGTCCCTGCTAGAGGCAAAGAAAGGAGGCTAAACACAGAAGTGGTCTTTCATCAGGGTCGGTAAAAGGACTTTTTCCCCCTGTCCCCTTCTTCCTCTAAAGGGAGGGACGGACTGTGTCTCCCTGAAGCTTTCAGAGAAAGGTCTTTTAAGAACAAAATGTACATACATACGAATATTCGTTGCTTCGTAACAGCTGAGATGAACCTTTGGACCTTCAGAATGTGAACTTCCCCGAGTCAGCGGGGCCAGCGACGAAGGCTT